CCAGACCACTTCAGCTTAATGAAGTGGTCTGGGTGCCAGGTCCAGCCAGGATTAACCCATTCTTTTATAAACATAGCAGTTTCAGAGAAACTGCTATGTTTATGAATGGGTTAAGCCTTCCCCCAAAGCCTCTAGTGGCTGTCTCATTGACAGCCGCTAGAGGCGCTTGCGTGCTTCTCACTGTGATTTTCACAGTGAGAACACGCCAGCATCCATAGGAAAGCATTGATAATGCTTTCCTATGCGACCGGCTGAATGCGCGCGCAGCTCTTGCCGCGCGTGCGCATTCAGCCGACTGGGCGGATCGGAGAGGAGGAGGAGAGCTCCCCAGCATTTGTTACCCAATACAATCTGGACCATGGTAGGAAACGGTATAAAAAAACATTGGTCCATATCATTATAGGATCCAGTCCTGGGAATTCATTTACCAGATCAGCCAGCATTTATTTATAAGAAGACTCGTAACTTGAAAAATGTTAGCCCCCAGTTATGCTATTAGATCTAACATCGGACACTCTACTGGGCTATCTTGTACTTTTAGAAGGTGTAACTCCTGTAAAGCCTGTTTTACAATGTCCTTGGATAGGGCAAATCATTCTTTTTAGTTCTGTAACAGGTGATTTCTTTGGGATTGTCTATAATGGGGTGCCACACGGATTTTGTGGTTTATTTACTGCAATGTCCGTGTGGCAAACAGTATGTTGGGCGAACCAAAAGAATCCATAAGGTCAGAGTTTTAGAACACCTTAATAATATAAGGAAAGGCCTTATGACTCATTCAGTCCTGGTTCACTGTAACTCTTGTCCCTACTTTTCTTTTTAAAAACTTTAAATGTACCGGTATTGAAAGGGGTGGTGATAGGGTTAAAAAAACTAGCTCAACATGAAACCTATTGGATCCACAAACTTCAGACTTTTGAACCAAAGGGACTGAATGTGGACATAGACTTGGTCTGTTTCCTGTAATTAGGTTGCTTCCTGTTTTTGACAGTTTTTGTCCCCTTTTCCTTTTTTTTTTTTTAAACCTTACTCCACTCAGGAAATTTAGCCATTGTACGTGTTAGATATGCCCCCACAGGTAGGCATGTTGAACATGAAATTAATAATTCTCCCTTGTCTCTCTCATTTTTTTTTTTTTTTTAAAGATATCTCCTTTTGTATTGACATGTTCCATATCCCCTTCGATTAGGGATATTAAATCGTTGGACCATGATAGGTTATGTTATAATATGCTGTAAGATTAGGTATGTGTGGTTTATACCTTGATACGCTTATTCTCTATTATTATTATTTATGACATAATAGATATTGAATTTTGGTTATTTATTATGTAGACTTTTGTGTTATTATTAATGCATTTTCACTCTTATATTTCTGGACACCACTAGAGGTCACTACTTACACTTAATACACTCTTTGGTATAATATTCAGTCACTTGGATGTCTTTGGTATACAGCATCCACTAGGTGGAACGCAGAAGTGATCAGTGGAACGCACTTCCGATTCTGGTCTCCAACAGGCGTCTGAACACCAGTTATTACACAGAGAAGATTATGAAGATCTACAGGAAAAGGGAACCAATAGAATCATGGAAGAAGGTTAACATTCTCAGCACAACCAATGGACTTAGGGATTAGCCCTATTTAAAGGGACAATTGGGTGGGGATGTTTAGGCTGTTATTTGTACAATTACTTGTTTCTGATTTTCTCTGAGGAAGTTCCAATTGTGGCACGAAACGCGTAAAACCAGTACTATTGCTGTTTTAATAGCATTTATTCTGGTGTTTAACGGGGGGAGACATTGACAGGGAGGGGAATTGACGGGGAGAGAGAAATTGACAGGGAGGGGGGAGTGACAGGGGAGGGAGGGGGAATGAGAGTAACAAGGGAGGGGGGGAGAAGAGAGTGACAAGGGAGGGGGGAGAGATTGACATCCATCACACACACACCTCACACACAACACACAATGAACCCCTTGCACACAGAAAAACACACAATGCATTACACACACAATGCATTACACACACACTGCAATGCAACCCTTACACACAATGCATCCCTACACACACAGAAACACACAATGCATTCCTTACACACACTCAATGCACCCCTTACAGACTCACACACTTCATCCCTTACATACACAGAAACACACCTTGCAGCCCTTACACATACAAACACAGATTCACAAAATGCATTCCTTACACACAAATCAGGACATTCCCTACACACTCCATCCCCTGTGAACAAACTCATTGGTGGAAAATGAAGGTGGACCCTGGGACCCAGACCTTGAGCTGTGTAAAGGGCCCCCAAAAAATGGAGCTGCTTCTCGTTCTCCCAGAACATTGATTTGTGTGACCACAGTTACAAACAGCCTCCAGAGATCCTGTTATACACCAGACCAGTGGAGCCAGACTGCAGCTAGAGCCCATCATCATCCTCATCTGCTTGTAAGTAGGTAATCTAGTATATTATTCGTGGCACTAATCTCTAATT